CCCAATCTTCGTCCGGCGGAACCCTAGCCCACCGCGGCGCGACTCGCAGGAGAGGGCTCTCCTCCGGCGGAATCGGCGGCCCGCTCCTTCCCCGGCGCCAAGCACGCTCCGGAGACGCCCCCGCTGCCGCCCGGCGTCGCCCCCGTCCAAGCTCCGCGGCCGGCTCCTTCCTCCGTCCGCCCGTCGACACCGCCAGGATCCGCGCCGCGCCGTCCAAGGGCTCCGACTCCGCGCCAAGGGACCAGCGACCCGCCGCCCGCGTCGGATCGGGCCCGATCTGTAACTTCGCCCGCCGTTCGCGGCTTTCTCTGTAGTACTATTCGATCGGTCGGTCGATCGATTCTGTGAGAAGCCCTCCCCGGACCTCTCGCGAATTGCGTGTGTGTGCGCAAAGCGAGAGGCCCGAAGAGTGGGCACAGGCAGAACTCGATTCGCCATGGGTGTCTTGTATTACAAATATAAGAGTGCAAAGGAAACTTACCCTGTGACGTTGCCCTACTCGTTCATATCCGTGTCTGATCTCAAGCAGCTCATCTTGTCGAGTAACCGGCACGGCGTCGGCCGTAGCCGCGGCCGCGGGCCCTGCGAGGATATCGCGCTCTCCAACGCCCAGACCGGCGAAGGTTCGTAGCGGATTTATTCAGGCCATGGTTGTTAAATCTTTACAGTAGCCTGTTGGTTAATCTAATATGCAGCACCAGTCATCAATCTTGTGAATTTCTTGGAATTTGGGTGCTGCGTTGTTCATTACCGGCCTAAATTGTTCAATCTGACAAAATCGCGCCCTATGGGCACCAAGTTTGGTCTTTTAATCCCCTGAATCTATGAATCTATGTCAGGAGAAGTGGTGCCAGGATCACATCGATGGGTTTTTAATTTTGTTCTTGTAGCCTTTAGGTTAAGTTCTTATTTGATAGCCGTATCACCTAATTTACAACGAATTGCATCCACCAAGCAAATTGTTTGACTGTTAATACAGAGGCAAAAATATCAGAACAAGTGATATTCGACTCCATTACAAATTGCTCCCACTTAAGTCAAGATCAACCAATTTAGTTATTATAGGGACCTGGATGCTCTGGAAGATGCACACATCTATCTTTTACACAGAGATGCATCCTTCTGTTTGTAATGTGGGGTTCAAGTGCACAACTGAACTTCAGCTTTGAACAAAGCAATGATGGATATTTCGTGTTGCTCTGGACAAAGCCTATACCTTTTTGTTTCATCAGCGATTTTAATATTTCTCATTTCTGTAGAAATGCTGATTCAGCTTGTTTATCTTTTTTTGTGTTGTATACTGTTTGTGTATGGCCAGTTATGCATATTTGATGGCCAGTTATGCTATGGTTGTGTTCGCATAACTGTTATGCGAATTGTGCAACCCTCGAGCATGGTTGTCAATATTACTCCGTGTCCTGCTGTACTGATATTTGCTTATCTACTATGACTGTAATGGAGGTCTCTTCATGATGTACTAGGACATACTGTTGTTGTAGTCGAAGAGCTGCTATACTCGTTCTCTAGCATGTCCTTGTGATATGTTTCTATAGCACGATAGATCCCCTGTACCATGGATAGTTCAATTTGCATATCGTGATTGCGAGTAATCCTTGTATATTTTCCCATCCTGCATATCTCGGTACCTCGTAGTTTCCCAGTTTTCTAAACGTAAATTAACCTGTTATTTTGATTGTTGTGATGTTATTTGAAGATCTTAGCTTTTCAATTTAAACACGCTAGTGTTGCTATTTAATTGCATATTTTGGTTATGCTGGAGAAGATTTTATTTCGCACTTCAAAGCTAGATGGGTATTTTAGTGTAATGCTTTGACATATTGTTTTCTGTTTTTATTCTTGAGTGCAGAATATGCAGATGAAGAGGCAATGATACCACAGAATGTAACCGTGCTGGTCCGCCGAACTGCTGGGCAAGAGTCAGAGAGTATCGTCGTGATGTCCTCGTAAGTCACTGCATCCCTGTCTGTACAGAGAGGTCGGGAAGGCGGAGGTGGTGGTGATTCATTGTAGGAAATTTAACGGACGGAACTGAGATTACATGTGAAATTTGCCGCCTTTAACTTTGTTGATTGATTATCTTCTATGCGTAGATGTATCTTACGTTCTTAACAAGTGTTTGTAATAAAAATAGAGACTGATGAAGGCACTACCTCTTTCCATTCTGCCTGTTTCCTTCAAAGAATGAACCAAAATGACATGCATATTTTTTTACATTAGATGTTCTATATGACTCTCTTTCTCTAAACAGATTTTGACTTTGGTCTAACTTTGAGATGTCTTTAACTGATGGCTAAGGAGATTTTTTTTTTTTTTGCATATGCTAATATTGTACCACTAATTGCAGGCGGAAAGTCATAGAAGATGGTTCATTAGCTTCAAACAGATCAGTGGTTACTGAATCAGTCTCAAAATCGTGTTCCTCCGCAGAAGTGAAAGATGAAGATGCTGCAATCGCAGCTGTGATTGATGCAGCTGAACTTAAATGGTTAGAATACAACATTTCCTTCTCGCATAAGTCAGCAGCTAGATTTTTTGGTACCTTTTAATGATCATATTTAATGGTTCATGCAGGGAAGAGCAGTCATTTAGGAGAGGACAAGCTCCTGGAAGGTTTACATCAGGACGCCATAATGGTAAAGCAGAAATTCCCTGTCTTCAGTTTCATGTTCTTTTGAGTTATGATTATGCTAGCAGATAATCTGAAAAGATTCTCTTAAAGATCAAAGCCATTGTTATGATGAGAAAGAGTGTGTAGGTGTTCAAGCTTTACGGAGACCAGATGTATTTTCTTTTTGGGACGGTAGACCATGTTTCACTTGGATCTTTTTTGACAGTAACTAGACAGTTTGTTTCCAGCCCATTAGACAGCCTTTGAACTCTAGCAGATTTTCATACAAATTTGAACAGATTCATGTTGTTTTGTGAATATGTGAACTATACTGCTGCACAATATGCTTGCGTTGTTCTGTGAATGTGTTCAGAATACTATTTAACATGTGCACTGTTTGTCAAATCTTTCAAATTGAAGGCCATGGATCATCAGAAAGGGAGGCACCTCCACCAGGCTATGTGTGCCGCAGCTGCGGAGTTGCAGGCCATTTCATTCAACATTGCCCACAGGAAAACCAGACGCCTCCACCTGGCTACACCTGCTACAGATGCCGGGTTCCAGGGCATTTTATTCAGCACTGCCCAACCATTGGCGATTCCAAATTTGACAACTACAAAATGGCTCGGCCAGTTGCCCCGGTCGTATCTCCAAATCCTGCTGATGACATTCTATCCGCACTTGCCCCAGCTGCATCTGTGAGTGTAGTCGATGACTTGCCAGCAGAACTCCACTGCCAACTATGTAATAAGGTGATGGCAGATGCGGTGTTAACAAGCAAGTGCTGCTTCGTCAGTTTCTGTGATAAATGTAAGCGGTTCTCTTATATCCGGTCTGTATCTTTAGATGTCTTGCTCTGTGGTGAGCCAATGTTCAGATATTTGGAGTGTGCTTATGCTCCAACTTTGTTTTAGTAGTTCGTACTATCGTTTTCGTGAGTTTTTGCTGCTTGAAATTGAATGAGGAATAACCGTCTGTTTCCCCCCTCAGGTATTCGAGATTACATTGTTACACAATCGAAGTGCATTTGTGGAGTCAAGGTCCTTGCAGACTCCCTCATCCCCAATCCCACAGTTAGGAGCACAATCAGCAACTTGTTAGGAACAAGGACTTGCAGCACTGCCAGCGGTACAGGGAAGCACAGAAGTTCTTCAGGAAGCAACGCTGACCCCAAATCACAGAGCCACACCACCTCGGCTGCTCTGGAAAGGGACGCGAAGCAATGTATGGACAACCAGCTATCGGCAGCTTCTCCCGACGCCCGCCTCCAGGTCGCCACAGAAGGTGATCAAGTTGACCGCCCTCAGAAGAATTCTGATCTGAAGAGCAACACTGAAGGCTCTGCAGGGCGTTCAGCAGAGAAAGCCGTACCTAGTGCCGAGCTCCCCAAACTGAAGGATGTGAGCGAATCAACTTTGAAGAACGGTACGATTTCAGGGAGCTTGGAACAAAAAGTTGCTAGGCCTGATCAGTTGAAGAAGAAGCGGAAGAAGGCAGACTCATCCAAGGCCGTTCATCCAAACAATGCTGACTATGGTTACAACGTTCCATTTGACCCTGCATATTGTAACCCTTTCAACGGTGCATATCCCATGGGTCCATTTGGGGTACCTGATCCATACATGTACGGCTCAATGGGCATGCCCTATGGTGGTTTCCCGATGGGTCCATTTGGTATGAATCCCTTTGGCAATATTCCGCCGCAGGCTCTTGCCATGCAAGGCTATCCGCCAAACTATCAAAGGTGTGTATTGTGTATTATCAGTTAGAAACCTTGTTTCTTTATTTCTACCTGTAGAAATGAACATAGACATAGACATAACTCTGGTCACTGGAACGATTTAGTAAAGATCAGCTGTAGTCACTGTATCTTCTTCTGTTTATTTGAGTTTGAATACTAAACGTATTTCATTTATTTCATTTTAGCTGGGAAAACCAGGCCGCGCTACACCGTGATGCCGAAGCTGCTGCACGCTCAAGGCAGGTCTCCCAGGGAAACGCCGGAGCTGCTGCACGTTCAAGGCAGACCGAGAGGCCACATGACTCTGGTGCTTGTCCCCGGCCATCAGAGCGCAACCAGCGCATGGGTTCTCCTCAAGGCAGAGAGCTGAGGGACAGGCCCCAGTCAAGACCCGAACCATCAGAGCGCAACCAGTGCTTAGGTTCTCCTCACGGCAGAGAGTCCCGGGACAGGTCCCGGTCCAGATCTAAGCCATCAGAGCGCAGCCAGCGCTCGGTTTCTCCTCGCCGCAGAGAGTCGAGGGACAGGTCCCGGTCAAGACCGGAGAGGACTAGTAGGGACCATGGGCGTTCCGACAGAGGTTCCAGTGACCACCACCACGAGGATCACCATGACAGGAAGAGAATGCGCGTCTCTTCCACCGTCGATGGTGACACAGAGAGCAGCCAGAGGTCCAGGCACAGTTCTAGGAGCAGCCTGAGGCGCGACGACGTGAGCGACGACGAGCAGAATTTCAAGAGGAAGTGGGGACGATGATCACCGGCCGCCATGGATGGATGCAAGGTTCTGAATAAAGATGGTGGACCTGTTGCAGCATTGCTGGTGTCCATTGCTTTGCTGATGAGACTTGTTTTACTAGTCATTGTATATGTCTCGGAAAGCGGGGAGTGTAATTCCTCCCGCAGAATGTTAAACCGTTATTATACCAGAGATTGTAATATATCAGAGAGTTCCCAGATCTCTTCCTCTGTAATGCAATGTTATTATTATATCAAGATAAATGAAATTATCATAAGCTACCTATCGACTTGTTATATGCATTTCGGAAATGTGCGTCTTCCTATTTTATTATTTGTATTTGAACGTTTCTCATACCAAAATGATAAGTGGTGCACGTGTGGCACGAAGCAATCCCAATTTGACGTTTTTTACAACTAAAAATGCCATTTGAAAAGAAAAAGACGTTTTTTACAACTAAAAATGCCATTTGAAAAGAAGAAACAAACTGAAAGAACTTAAACTTGCTCCGGAAAGAAAATTGAAAAGAAAAAACAAACCGAAAGAACTTAAACTTGCCTCCGGAAAGAAAGTTGTCATGTCACTAAACTTGCCATAAAAAACGTTCGGAATTGCCATGCGTTTAGGGTAGTCCTCATATGACCTAATAGGATGTCATAGTAAAATGTGTTGTTTTTCAACTGAATAAACAATTTGTTTTGATGTATATCTGACTAGATTGCACATAAACCCAACTTTATACTATGCACGCGACCATAACCACACCTTAGGCAAAAGGATAGCCTGCCGCTTGTTCCCCTCGCCTCCGGGTGCCTTACGGCGTGGAGCCGTGGACGAACTAGCCAGTGATGCATGAAAAAAAAATCTCCTCATCATGTTCTTGTTATGGCAATGCCGATTGCCATCGGCGAAGGTCGTGTGGAGCTTTGATCAGGGCCAGACATAGGGTCATTTGGAGTGGACGGCGACAACTCGTGTTTTGGTCTTCAAGCTTCTTATCATTTCGACAAAGCACGACGCCAGGAAGCTAATTAGGTTATGCCTCCCCGATTATGTCTTAGACAGATTTGTGATGGTTGGTCAACCCCATTAGTTGCTTTCTTATCTAGGATGATGATCTGATCCTATCGATGACTTCCGTTTGATATGTCAACAATGGTACCTTGACTTAAAGGATGTTTCTGAGATCCAAACATAGCATCAAACTTTTCCAGTGGCCTGCCATTGATAAGTGCATGAAAAGTCAATATCAATATACGCGAGGACATGTATGTCATTGTTTGCTTTGTAAGCCTGGTCTCATAAAGGAAATTCTCGTCCCCTAGGTCACCCGTGTACATAGCTGCGACCGGCACCGGCAAGGACACGTTTTTGCTACAACTTTGTCGAATTTTTTGCTACTACCGGCCACGTCTTTGCCACATCCGCTCACGACGGACATGACACTTCAAGTGCGTTTTTTTTGGAAACACTTGTATTACTCAAACAACAATATCTTTACAATCACCCAGGGAGACACCCAAGACTTCATCTGGCTCAGATCCTAACCAAGCCATAGTCCGCCCTTCAACTCGAGCAAACCTAGCTAGACTACCACTCGCTTTATTCAGGGCTCTCGAAACACGAGTAATACAAGTTTGTCTAAGACGCGATAGCACTCTTGCTTCATTCAGCAAGGAGGCATAAACCGAGCGATCAACTTCTCCAAAAGATATCATAGGACACCACCATACTGAAGTCAGATTCAGTAGCGACACGAACAAAGATGCTGTTGGTGGTTGCCGTGAAATCCGGCGACGAGACCTACCGTGGAGCGGGAAGGGGCGCTGCGACGGGGGGTGGGGGGACCCAACCAGCTGCGCGAGGAAGAAGAAGGTTTGAAGGCGAACCGTTTTGTTCTAGATCCATCGAACCAGACGACTGGCATCCGACGCCCCACGTGCCATCGGCCAGATTTTTTGGCCGGTCGACCGGCGCCTATCACTGCCGCCTTACACGTGTGCGGTGTGCTGGCCTCGGCGAGAAGCCACTCAAGCACACGTCGCCGCCGCACGGCACGTTTTCTCCCCGCCTTCCCCGGCCGCGCCGCCCACTCCCGACTCCCACTTCCCGACGGAGCCGATGGCGACGCTGCAGCTGAACCACATCGCGCGGGAGACCGGCGACGTGCGGGGCCTGGCCGCCTTCTACGAGGAGGTGCTGGGCTTCGAGCGCGTCCCGGCGCCCGCCTACTCCGGCTTCCAGGTCGCCTGGCTCCGCCTCCCGGGCTCCCCCGACGTCGCGCTCCACATCATCGAGCGCGACCCGGCCGCCGCCGCCGCCGCTGCCGCCCCGGGGGACGCCACGCCCGCGCAGCTGCCCAGGCGGCACCACCTCGCCTTCTCCGTGGCCGACTTCGACGGGTTCCTCACCGGGCTCAGGACCCGCGGCACCCAGCTGTTCGAGAAGTCCCAGCCCGACGGCCGCACGCGCCAGGTCTTCTTCTTCGACCCCGACGGTGAGCGAGCGAGCGATTCCCTCTCGGATCCTGTTTCCTCACCATCCTCTTAGATTTCCACTGGAATTGCCGTGGCGTTTGAGTAATATTGTGTCGAATTGACGAAATTCTGAGAGAGATTCTTCAGTAGGAGAACTGGAAAACAAGTCTGCAATTTTAGGAGTGGCTTGAAATGGGAGGGTTATTCAGGTTGAGTGATGGAGGAATGCCACAGCCTGAAACTTGTTTGCTTCATCGCAATCCGTCACCGGTGCTATCTGTGAACTTGCAGTGTCCTTGTGGTGAACTTCTTCTTCAGGCAAAGATCAGAGTTGTTGGGTTTATGCATGTTTTATGCCCTCTTTACGATAACTTTTGACAGGTAGTAGTAGTAGTGATGTTAGCTTATCATGTCTGTCTTTGGGACGGGGTTAGTTCAGCTATGCATTTTATTTCTGCAGCATACATGTACAGTTTTTCTTGTAGACTGCCATTCAATATGTGTGTTGCATGCTTCATTATGACCAGATCGATCAGTTTGTAGTACGATACTTGTTTGGTAGATGCTTTTGTTTAACCTTTTTTGTTGGGTTATGCTAAGCTGTCCTCCAAAAAGGAAAAAAGTTTATCCGACGGTGAGGGATTCCTTCCTTCTCGGATGCTTATTTATCTTTGTTGGATTCCTATGTTTTTAGATTCCTAATTGTTAATTTAGCTTGCTATCTCGGTGACGTCTCTATGCTTGTTAATTGGTAATTGAAGGAAAGATGAGATAAGTTATGGCAATGGTTACATCATAATTTTGGCAGTACCGTCTATTTTTTAGCGGACTTCAGCTTGACGCAAGTTGCCAAGTTTTACCTTGCAGTAGTAGGGAGAACACACTATAGGTAGTTTGAACATCCCATTGTTTACAATCTTGGGATCACCTTTATTTTTTTTGGAAAAGGGGCGTAGCCCCGGCCTCTGCATCAATCTTGGGATCACCTAGGCTGCATAAGCATTTTAGTACTCTGTAGTAGAACTACAAAACGTACTGCAGTTTAGGCGTGGCTTGAAATGGGAGGGTTGACCCTCTTTTTGGAAATGGTCACCCCCGTATTTCAAATTGTGTGTTCGTTACAAAATCCACTACCTGTGCTATTTGTGAACTTGCAGTGTCCTTGTGGTGATTTCTTCTTCAGGCAAAGATCAGAGTTTGTTGTGTTTATGCACATTTTGTGTCCTTAGGGTAGGGGTTACTTTTGATAGGTGGTACTAATGATGTTAGCTTATCATGTCAAGTTTCTTGAACGGGGTTACTTCAGATATGCATTTTCTTTCTGCAGCATGTATTGTATATAGAATCTTTCTTGTTGACTGTCATTCAATATGTGTACTGCATGCTTGATTATGACCAGATTGTTCAGTTTGCAGTAAGATAGTTGTTTGGCAAATGATTTTTGTTTCACTTCTTAGTTTGGTTATGCTAAGTCTTTCTCGAAAAGAAAATGGTTATGCTAAACCTACTATGTTTAGTTAGACCTGTATTCCACAAGTCTTATAAGTAGGGCTCTGAAAACGAGTTCTACACTGTCAGTTCCAGCATATTATAGAAATTATATACCATTAACATCAATAGACAGCAAACAAGCCATCCTTAAGTTGATAAATCTTAGCCAGCAACAGACTTGATTTGCTTTCTTCGAAGTAGTGCTGGAGCTATATGTTTCCAACAGTAGAGTCAAAGCGGTAAATCCTTGTCCATAACAAGGACTTACTTGGTACTCCCTCTGTAAAGAAATATAAGAGTGTTTAGATTACTACTTTAGTGATCTAAACTAGTGATCTAAACGCTCTTATATTTCTTTACAGAGGGAGTACCAAGTTGCATGAAGTCATTTTACCAAGCCGCCTGTCACTTAATCTCGCGTCTACCCTCCAAAGATAAAGCTGCGTGTCCTGGTTAACCAAAAAGATCATGAGCCAACTACCTGATACCTATGTACTTTCCAAAGCCATGGGCTATAATGGATTCCATTGGTTGCTTTCAAACCATTCTTCATGGTATGCTAGTTTTTCTTCTCCTTGTAACTTGTGACTGGTCTTAAACGCAAAAAAAAAAAGAAAAAAGAAAAAAGAGAAAAAAAGAAACTTGTGACTGGTCTGTGAATCTTGCCGTACCCACTTTCGAGTGTAATTGTAAGAAACCCAAAGATGGCACCTGTCATGGCTAATACCAAGCTTTTAGATTTCTGTTCAGAAGTTTACGCATGGTTCCTCAGTCAGCGGTGAATTTCCTGTGTGTTACTAACTCTTTGGAATTCTGATATCTGAAACAAAGATTGTGAATGACAAATGGACTGCATCTTCATCTGTCTTTTCGTGTTTATTGCATACAATCTTTGTACCGCAGTCCATTCCAACAGCATCCACACCTCAACCATCGTTGACAGCTTGGTTCTACCTCTACCGCAGGCAATGGTCTAGAAGTCACAAGCTCGAGCCCAGGCGACAAGTAACGTGCCGCGAGCACGAAACACCTTCTACTTCTGCGACACCC